CCCTGAGCTCTTCAGCTCAAGGCTAGCGCTCTACCACTTGAGCCACAGCGCCACTTCCGGCTTTTTTTCTTTTTGCTTATGTGGTGCTGAGGAATCGAACCCAGGGCCTCAGGCATGCAAGGCAAGCGCTCTACCACTGAGCCACCTTCCCAGCCCAGGTCTTTTGTTTTTGTTGTTTCCTATTTCTAGAGCCCAAGGTCTATCACCTGCCAGGCCAGTGTTGTATGTTGAGCTCCATCCCACAGCACAGATAAGCTTGGGTGTTTTGTTGTTCTGGGTTTTGCTGGTAGGGGGATATATAGCCATACTGAGACTGAGCTTGGTCTAACACCTAGGCCACCCAGTCCTTTTATCTCCAGCTAACCAAAAAGCTGAAAGCAGAGGAGTAGAGTGCCAGCTATGAATAGTAAAAGCCATGCAAAATCTCAAAAGACACAACAAGCCTCAGTACTGGCATCAAAAAATAATAGTAATTAGCGAGGCACTAGTAGCTCATGCCTACAATCCTAGCTACTCGGGAGGCTGAGATCTAAGAATTACAGCTTGAAGCCAACTAGGCAGGAAAGTCCTTAAGACTCTTGTCTTCAACTGACCATCAAAAAGCTGTAAGTGGGCTGGGAAGGTGGCTCAGTGGTAGAGCGCTTGTCTTGCATGCATGAGCCCCTGGGTTCGATTCCTCAGCACCACATAAGCAAAAAGAAAAAAGCCCGAAGTGGTGCTGTGGTTCAAGTGGTAGAGCGCTAGCCTTGAACTGAAGAGCTGAGGGACAGCACCCAGGCCCAGAGTTCAGGCCCCACGACCCCCCCAAAAAAAAGTTGTAAGTAGCTAGGTACCAGTGGCTCCTGCCTAATCCTAGCTACTCAGGAGGGTGATTTCAAGCCAGCCTGGGCAGAAAAGTCCTTGAGATTCATTATCTCCAACAAACCACCAGAAAACTGGAAGTGGCACTGTGGCTCAAGTGGTAGAGTGCTGGCCTTGAGCTGAAGAGCGCAGGGACAGCACCCAGGCCCAGAATTCAAGCCCCATGACCAAAAAAAAAAAAAGCTGTTATGTGGGCCAGATGCTGGTGGCTGGCTCACACCTGTAATCCTAACTACTCAGGAGACTGAGATCTGAGGATTGCAGTTCAAAGCCAGTCTGGGCAGGAACATCCATGAGACTCTTATCTCCAGTTAACCAACAGAAAACTAGAAGTAGCGCCGTGGTAGAACACTCACCTTGAGCTGAAGAGCTCAGGGACAGCGCCTAGGCCTAGATCAAGCCCTAGGATGTGCACATATACAAAAGCTTCTGTGTTGAGAACAAAACTACCTCTCTTTGGTGTTACCTTTCCATTGTCAGATATTTTACTTATTTAAGGCAAAAACAGAATGAGCAAAATACAAGGGAAGCAGGAGAGTGGTCCTAAATCTTCAAATCTCTTCGCTCTCAGCCCATTATGTGTTGGAAACCATCATCAGATCAAGTACAATTAAGACAGATAAATGAAATAAAGCAATGTGTGATTACACACCGGTAATCACAGTATTGAGGAGGCTCAAGGAAGAGATCATGAGTTCAAAGACATCCTGGACTGTATAGTAAGCAGATCCAGTCCTTTAACAATCAAAGTTTTGCACACTGAGTACTTGCTGTGCGCCTGTGGAAAAAAAAAATAGCAATGTCAACAGGCATAGTGCCTCATGTCAGTAATTCCAGGTACTCAGGAGACTTAAGGTTGGAAGAGTGTGGATGGGTCCAGGCCAGACCAAGAAAGCAGCAGGAAGTATAAATAGGATCACGGTCAATTCTGGCCAGGGCAGAAAGTGAGCCCCTATCTCAAAAATAACCAGTGCAAAAAGAGCTGGAAATTTGGTCCTATCAGTAGAGCACCTGTCCAGCGAATAAAGACTTGAGTTCTGCAAAAAAAAAAAAGTTAGTGATTGTACTTTGCAGGTTTACATCATTATCTCCTGCAACATTATGGTATGTAATGCCATCTTTACTAAGATGAAGCTCAAAGCTGGCAGAATTTTTAAGACTAGACCATGGTCATCCTATGTGCCCTATCTTAGTTTGTCATCCTTCCATCCATAGGTACCGATGGGCCTTTATTCCAGAAGTCTCCGATGACTCGGGTTTAGAAGTCAGGAGGCAGGGCATACATCAACGAGAATTTAAACCCTACGTGGTACGACTGGCCAAACTTCTCAGGAAAAGGGCAAAGGTATTAAACTTTTGGTTTTGTTTTATTATGTAACGTGCTGCTTGTGTACTCAGTGTTTGTGATATATTATGTAAATGCTATGTATTAGCTGGTAGATTAGTGAGTCCTTATCAAGTATTTCCTGAGGAACTGAGGATATTATCAGGTTGAAATATTTTGAAAATTTATCTCCAGTTTTGACAGTGTCCATAACCCCAATGTCCACGAATATGTTAAGATACTGTGTATTTTAGAGAAATATTTGGTTAACATATTAACTGTTTTACACAGAAAATGCTTTTTTACATCAGTGACATTATTCTAAATATTTTCTCAAAAGTAAAAAGCTGTGCAGGTGAAGACTTAATACTTTAGTCCAAACCTTGTGAACACCCACAATATTCACCTTACGCCATCATGAGAAATGGAAGATAGCTGAAAAGAATGCAGTGCAAAGAGGGAATTTGTCAAATTGTAAGAAGGAATAAACAGCAAATGTAACTGTACTTTTTAAGTTTTAAATGAAATGGCCAGGGCCAGTCATGGTAATGCGCAACTGTCATCCCAGAGGGATAGCTCACCAAAACTGACCTAGCCATACCTTGATCAGAATAAGCATTCATTCTTTATCCATGTGTAGTAAAATGTACCTGGTAAAAATTTTCTAGCTGGCGATGGCTCATACCTGTAATCCTACTCAGGAGGTTAAGATCCTAGGGATCATGGTTCAAAGCCAGCCTGGGAAGGAAAATCTGTGAGATTCTTTATCTCAGAAACCAAAATCTAGTAGTAGAGAACAGCACAAACACAAGAGACACAGACACGGATGGACAGACGGACGCACGCACACGCACACAATGCATGAGACAAGGTCTCACTGCTTTGACCAGGTTGTCCTAGAATGTGCTATGTAATCAAGACTGGCCTTGGACTTGAGATCCTTGTGCTTCAGCTCTGGAGTGCTAGACTGTGGTGAAGCCGTGACCTCTGCAGTGCTGGGATTACAGGAGTGTACCACCCCACCTGGGCTAAAAGCTGTTTTGAGTACTGAGGATTAAACCCAGGATCTCATGTGTGAAGCAGGTATTCTGCCCCCAGTTCAAAGCAGGAGGCCTTAAAGTGCTGTCACTCGAGTCACACTCCTGAGACCCTTTTCAAAGAGGGTCTCATTTTTTTAATGCAGGCCAGTATAGACTTTTCTAATTATATACTCTTCCACCACAGCTGTGATGACAGCTGCTTTGGACAGAAAATGTTTCTACTGGGTTTCCATGAGTTTTTACATGCATTCCCTTCTGACTTACGTACTGTAAGATTTCTGGCTTTGTCTGAGGACCCTTTATCTATCTCTCTGGGGTGCAGCATAGTAAATGGCAGAGCATAGACCCCATTCCTTGACTCAGTCCATCTTCCTTCCCCCTTTCTGTGCTGCAGTATCAAGAGGAATTAAATCACTTTTGGACACTGCTATCTTGTGGCAAGATTAGGGCATTTGTTTAAAGGGAATTCATTTTAATACTGCTGGAATGTGTAAGTCCAGAAGTCTAGACTATTGAGTAAATGCAGAACACAAAATAAACATCTATAAACATGTTACTCCCTCTTTAATAAACAGATTTGCAAATGGCATTAAAAAGACGTAGATGTGAAAGGTTTTTAATTAAGTCTGAAATGACATGCCCTCATTTCTGTTCACTTAACCCTTGATTGCTAAAGTCTTATGTTCTTTTCATTTTCTTTTTCTGGGGCTTGAACTCGGGGCCTGTGGGCGCTCCCTTAGCTTTTTTGCTCAAAGCAGGGCACTGTACCACTTGAGCCCTATCTTCACTTCCAGCCTTTTTCGGGATAATGGGAGGTAAGAGTCTTCAGTTTGTTTTCTCTGGCTACCTTTGAACTCCAGGTTCTCTGCTCTCAGCCTCCCAGGCAGTTAGGATTAGTGGCGTGAGCCACTGCACTGGGCCTTGACATACCTACATCATTTGTTAATATTTTTTCCCCTGCAGAAAAATCCAGAGGATGACACGTCGGGGAGAGCGCTGGGCTGGGAACCGGGGCACCTGCTCCTCACCGTGGGCTCCGTGCGCAGCATGGAGCAGCTGCTGCCCTTCTTCCACGTCCTCAGCCAGGTCTTCAACAGCAAGGTCACGAGCCGGTGCGGAGGCCGCTCAGGGAGCCCCGTCCTCTCCTCAAACACCTTCTCTAACAAGGACATGAAACTCGAGAACCACAAACCGTTTTCTACCAGAGCCAGACAAAAAATAGAAGAAATGGTAGAAAAGGATTTTCTGGAAGGGGTGATAAAAACTTGACCACAGTGGCGGCTCCGTTTAAATGTAATGTAAAACGGGACACACTGCTCTGAGGTGTATAGTTGTTTTTCTTTTGTATGTAAAACACACTTCAGGTTGTATTTAAATGTTTGTAAATAAGAGCTAATGTCTGAATGTGGCCTAAATCAAGTTTAAATATTATTGGCTCCTATTGATTATGGTGCCTAGGAGAGATCTATATATATAGCCCATTGTTTTATTGTCCTGAGTTGTTTTAAAACCTGCAAAATACACACTGCACATTTTTCTACTGGCTTCAGGCTTGGTTTATTTAGAGGCTGGGATTGTTCTTTCCGCTGCTAACCATGTTCTGGCAGCACTTCAGCATCCAGAGGCATGGGCACTGTTCCTCCACATCCGTGCGTTGGGGAGAAGAGCTGAAGCCAGACACCAGGTGAGTAGCGGACGGGCCCCCTCCCCTCCCAGCAGGCGAATGCTGAACGTGCTCAGGTCACACCGAAGATGCCGCAGCAATGACCACCTCCTCTAGTACCGTAAAAGTTAATTTTGCAGCATTCTGCATACACCTTAAATTTAAGGGCTGGATGACATAGGGCTTACCTAATTCTAAAAATTATTCTGGTAGTGTTTAAGAAAAACAGATCTAGAAACAGTCCAGTAATGTGCACTGTAAACATTAGGATTAATACTGCCATTGCTGTGACAGGCATAGAGAAACTTCACAAACTCAGTTTCTTAGAAAATAAAAATTATCTTCCAAAACCCAGTTGAGGTCTTTCTCCAATTCCTCCAGCCAGCTCAAATACTGCCAGGCTCACTTCATGTGCAAGGCTATCCGCGCTTTCCTGCAATTACACAAGAGATGAGCTGAGCATATCCCTCTCCTCCCCCCGCCCCCCACACACAATGTACTTGTGCAGCTCAGGGTGGTGAGGTGGGGCAGTGGTTCCTGTTCTTTTCCCACTGCCCTATTTAAATACAAACTTCTCTTTTCACTTTTCAGAAACAAGACATTTAAATGAAAAGTCCAGACACTTCTAAATGAGGTAAGTTTCAGTTCAAGGTTATAGACTATTTCAAAATGAGTAAACTCATAAAACGAAATCCTTTAAAGGTCACAACTGCCTTCCATCAGAGACACTACTGGGAAAGTGTTGAGAGACAAAGCAGAGCTTGTGCAGAGGGAAATATAGACCACAGGTCTTTACTATATCCAGAAAACAACCTGCCATTAAAGGAGAAACACATCTCCTTTAGATGTGCATTCAAAAATGCACAAGGCTGGTTTTATAAAGACAGATTGGGTTATGCTCACCATGCATAAAAATTAGCATATGTCCAAACTAAGAATTTGTCATTCCTACCACAAAATAGTACTTTAAAATATATGGGGAAAAAACCAAGAGTCTAAATTTGCCATGATTTGAATCTTAGTTTGACCAAACAATATTAAACTACTAGCCTCTCAGTGCCCATTTTCTCACTAGAACTATTCCAGCTTACCTGTGAGTCTGCTTCTGCGTACACGCGCACAACGTCTTCCGTGCCCGAGGGCCGGACGAAGGCTCTGGAGAGCCTGTACTTCCTCACCAGGTTGTTGATTGCCGCCTGCAGTCCAGGTGGGGTAACTGCTTGCCGCTCAGCATCCGTGGTGCTAATCACTCTCCTGTCTGCGACCTGCACACAAGGACATCCTGTGGAAGCCTCACCCCACCGTGCCTGTGACTCTTTTATGTGTTTAACAGACTGACACCCAGAATAAGTATGGGGTAAAATTGTCTTACTGCTTTGCAACTTTTATTTCTCCAAGGCTAGTGTTAATAAGACTAAACAAAAACATTCCCACATTCTGTCATTAAAATAATGGCCAATGTCAGGTTTACTCAAACCAAATAGCAGTTTGTTTGAAATGCAGAATACTCTGGCCCTGTATAGAGGTTAGCTAAGTTACACAGGCAGACCCTGGCTCAAAAACAAATAACTCGGTGAAGGAGATTCAAAGTAATGCAAAAGAAATATTTTCACTTGAAATAATACAGGGAGTGGTGTGGAGAGCAAATAGAGCAGCAGCAGGGATCTACTAAGGCTGAGTTCATAAGGGCCACTGATTTTGTTCTGGTATGAATCCTCCATACTAAAATCTTTTTTTAAAAAGTGATGTGCAGCCAGGCATCAATGGCTCATGCCTGTCATCCTAGCTACTCAGGAGGCTGAGATCTGAGGATCACAGTTTGAAGCCAGTCTGGGCAGGAAAGTCTGAGATTATTTCCAACTGACCATCTGAAAGCTGGAAGTTGAGCAGTGTGTCAAGTGGCAAAATGTTAGCCTTGAGCAAAGGAGCTCAGACAGCACCCAGGACCAGCACCAAAAAAAATGCTGTGCAGCGATGTGTGACACCATTCTTTATGTAGTCAAGTGGAAGACAGACTGTTCTCATTAATACTGGTAAGTAAAATACTGGTAAGTAAAATACAAGTCAGTCTGTAATTTGTGAAATGTCAGAAAAAAATAGAAACGATAGAGCTTTCTGGAGGTGCATGGCATGTGGACAATGAGGCCTGGGAACAGGTCGAGGTGGGTTTCCTACCTTCACTTTGACCTGTCTGTTCGGGAGATCGGAGTAGAGCGCATCCCACTGCTGCACGGTCAGGCCCTTCAGAGCCAGGATCGCCTCAATCACCAGCATGTCAGAAATCGCGTCACCAGCTGTCTGCAGAGTGGGAGAGAAGCAAAACCTGGGTCTGAGATGTTCTCACCTCAGGCGGGTTCCCTAAGTTACTCTCCCCCAACCCACCCCCAAGCAGTGACCAGATGAGGGAAAACAACATGGGGAAAGAAAACCACCTTCTATCCTCATTACAGATGAGATCTAACATGTCCCTTGAGAAACCATGAGTGTGAAAGGCCTCAAACAGAAAAGGAGCTTCGGTACAACATCCCTACACTTGGTTTTTTTTAAATTTTTTTAAATGGTACTGGATTTTGAACTGTTACACTTGCTGAACAGACCTTAAGCTACAACCCAGCCATGTTTTTCTCACTTTCAGGCAGACCTCATGGTTTACCCAAGGCATCCTGGACCTCGATCCTCCTGCATAGCTAGTCCCAGGGTGTACCACCATGCCCAGCTTACTGTTGAGAAGAGGTATTACTAATGCTGCCCTGGCTGGACTCGAGCGGCCCTGCAGTTCTGAGGACCTGTGGTTCTTACTCACCCCTTCTCTGCATTGCTGCTAGGACTGTACAACAGGTACCTAAAGTGCACAGTACAGGTACAAAATGCTCAATACTAGTTCCCACTCCTCTCCGTGGCGTGATTATTGCTCATGCACAGCCACCCTCTACGCCAATCTCAGGTGATCCACATCCTTTGACAAGCAAGCAGTTTCCTCAAGAAGGCAGGTTTAAAACTGGCACCATATATAGTCATGTTCAATATGTAACTAAATGCCGATCCAAGATGAAACCCTTTCAATGTGTTTGGAATTTTCTTACCTTAACCTGAAATACCAAGTGTAAATACCCTTTCACCTTCTCCACTTGTTCATGCCACACCCTGTCCTGTCCATTTTCTGAACAATGTAGACCTAGCCAGAGCCAACCACCCAGTGAGTTCTGACCTGGTTAAACAAGTCAATGACGTTTTCCAGCATCTTAGCGGCTTTTCCTTTCTTATCTTCCAGTTTTGCTAGTTGTTTTATCTTCACTTCAACAGCTTTACTGAACAATGCCTGAATAAGCACAGGGAGTCAATCACAAGATAGCATCAAAGCCCCAGTCAGAATTACCATTTTCCTAGCTAAACCTCTTTCCACTTTTAGTCCAAAGACACAGGAGAAAAACCTAAACGGTATTAGTAAAACTATCAATTATTAAACAGCTGAAATCAAAGAAGGCACCACTCTGACAGAGGCGAGTACCATTCATCCTGTTCCCCGCACATGCCAGCAGAATCGGGGTGCAGGCAGGCTCACCTGCTACACCCCTGGAAGGATGCGTGCAAGGCGTGCTCATCTGTTTGGCAGACGGTGCGTCGTAGTCAGGAGAGTATCTTGAAATGCCTTCCCTATCTTGATACACTCAAGAGGCCCATTACTGAGCAGCTCACTATGCTCAATGGTTTGATGAAATATGTATTTGTAGGTAAAAGAAGGTGCAGGCTGGTCACCTGTTATTGTAAAGGAAGTTTTACTAGCATAGACATATCCATTCATTTCCATGAAACAAGCAAGAGTTGGTCCAGATATGATGGCTTGTAAGCCCTAATGTATTTATTTAAAAACCATCTAGCTACCCTTGCATTAAGATCAGCAGTTATATTTGAATCACATTTTGTAGGAATATATTTGCCTTGTTTCTATAGCTTCCAAGTCACCTTTGCATTAATAAGGAACAGGATTTGGCCTAGATTCAAATTTTCTGCTGGACTACCTCAAATCCATGAAATGAGGTGATAGACAAATGTGTATTTTATGGCATGTAAGTTGTATCTCAATTGTCTTCAAAATAAAGCTATAAAAAGCGCAACATGCTTATCAGTAATTAAACTCAACATGTCAGCACTTTTTTACAACTACTGAACTCTTCCTTCCAGTGGCCCACAGGAGGGCAAGGCACACACAAGCTGAAGAGTGAATTTATCAAAAGACCAAACTAGTTTAGCTTTTTGCAGCCATACAGGAATCATTAGCAGAAAGACAAGAACCAAATAAGCTTATTACCAATGCTGTACAGTTTCACCTCTTACTACCGAGATACACAACAGCTTCCTTTATAAGCAAGTGCTGGCTAAAGCCAGTGGTGATCTAGTGGAGAACTTACTGTGCCATGGCCATTTGCTTCAAAGTAAACTCCAATATCAAACTCCTGGGCTTTGTGGTGCAAATGCTTGACACCGGTTTTAGTGCAGTGAACAGGAACCTGTAACACACGCATTCAGAAAAAACAGCAGCAGTCACTCTGCCAGAAGATGGTGCTGTATACAGGGATACAAGAAACAAACCCTGGAGCTTACTGTAGTGAGGAAGATGGCTAAGAATGAAAAGACAGAATACCACGGGCATGCTGGAAGCACAGAGCCCGAGAAGAGCAGGAGACACAGTTTTCCTCTATAGGATGGTGGATGACTGCAAGAAGAACAGGAGATAGCATGCTGGGTGGATGACTGCAAGTCAGGGTATGGCATCACCTCTTAGACCACTGTGCAGTACAGTATGCAGCAGGGCTAACCGCAGGGGGCTGCAGGCTTTTGCTGTAAAGGTCTACACAAGCCATAGGAGCTGTCAAATTACTCCCTCATCTGTGCAAAAACAGCCATACATCAACAGGCAAGCCCTGTTCCAATAAAACTATAAGAACACTAGCAGTCTGGATTTGGTCCTCGGCCCGTCCATTATTTGCCAACCTCCGGCCTAACATGGGTAATAAAAGACCAACAAGATCTCCCACACTAACCCCAGAAAGACGTCACCAGGGCTGGACCAGCAGTCAAGGGGAGGGAAGTCAAGCCTGGGCTGGAGGTGTAGGAATGTATAAGGGAAATCTAGTGAGCAAGTGAGCCGAGTCAGCCCTTGACTGGACTAACTCGGGAATGGCAAGAGCCAAAAGGACTTCATCCAAAAAGATGGGAATTTGGTTTCTTACACAGAATAGAAGAAAATTTTAAGGCAAAAAAATGAGAAGTTATGTAACACTATTCTGGCCTGTGACATGCCCCCAGAGATGTCATTGTCAGATGATGCCGTAGCCATCTTAGTTTGCACTAAGTGCTCCATGTGTCCAGCCAAGGACACAGTTATCCACTGACATGTGTCTGTCTTACACAACGACCCCCCCCCATTATTTTTTTAAAACAACCTGAAGTCCGAGAATTGCTGTGATACAGTAAGCTTTCTGTAACCACATTTAAGTCAGCATTCACTAGCTGCCTGCACTGTTTTTGTTTTGCCCATCCACAGTTTCTATTAAAAAGCAAAAACTCGCCATAAGATTCAGATTCCCAGGTCTTTTGAATCTCACAACCGCTGGCAGGACCTCACCTGCATGTACACCCACCCTTCACATCATTTTACCTGACCACACCCTCTAGCACTTTGAAATGGGTTACGCAAAAGATGGAAAATATTAAAGTAGCCAGTGAGAAAGAGTAAAGGTAAACAGCTTCCAATTTTGTCCATGAGCCCCCTTTCCCTCAGCTCTGAGAAGAAGCAATGTGGACCATGGGTCCACATTGTCCACAAAAGCAACAAGGAACAAGTTCTATTAGGCCAGACTTTATACTAAAGAAATTGCAAACACAGGGGCTGGGAAGGTGGTTCAGTGGTAGAGCACTTGCTGGGTTCGATTCCTCAGCACCACATAAGCAAAAAGAAAAAAAGCCGGAAGTGGCGCTGTGGCTCAAGTGGTAGAGCGCTAGCCTTGAGCTGAAGAGCTG